GAAGAAAAAGAAAGAAAAACTCCTATCTCGGGCTTAGGAGAATCTGGATACCAAGTTTGGTTATTCTAGCTCTTATGCTTTAGGAGAGTTCCTTGAGATCATACGGACGCGGCTAGTCATAATGATAAATAATATATATACTTTGTGGAGTCTGCCCCGCCTCCTTCTGTGTGTTACATACATTCGCACAAAACTAGAATACCCTTTTACCTTTGGATACATGGTATAAAAATGTTCCATGTTCCTTAGGGTCAAGGAGAGTCTATAAACTGTGCATACTTTGCTGAGACGTATTATACCGCCATTGCCCTTCGGGTACACGGTATAAAAACTGGACGTGCATTTGAACGGACATAAGTTGTTTACGATTTCCAATTTTTGAATCATTTGTACAAATATTTGCTGATGGCTCATTTATGTATTTACAAGCAATATGCACATATGGTATAATTAAGGAAAAAATATGGCAAAACGTCATGTAAAACAAACTGTTCTATATGTATATTTAAATAGATTTTTATTGCCGTATTAATATAATTTTTATTTACATACATTGGTTCAAGTTAAAGTCAAAAAACGTGGGTTGGAGAATATTTTAATGAATTAATGTACAGTTTATTATCAAAAGAAAATAGCGAACAATGGAAGCTTAGCGGTTTTTAATATAAAGATGAAAGATCATCTTAATCTAAACGTAACAAAGCAAATATCTGGACCTATCCCATCGAATAGCAATAAGGTAGAATAATACATATTCTATGTACTATATATTACACATTTAAGTAAATAAGTGTACAGATTGGACCATGAATCAAGTGGTTCGTGATATTCTGGAAATATTATGTTACATATATGCATTCGTTATAACAAATGTACACATTAACTGTGTATGTATATGTATATCGATTCAAATTCCCTTTTCCGTTATAATTAATTTATTTATAAATGTTGTATTAAGAGCGTGATAAAAAATCATTAATACTTGTATGAATCAGCAGGTGGTAGTAGTCCTTGGAACGCTTTCCAGAGCTCAAAATATACACATACATACATATGTATGAGCAAATCGAGTAAATTCAATGCTGATAACCAAACAACGCCAGCCCTCAAACCGCTAACAACTCTACCCCTGATTATATTTGTTGCGCTTACGAAACCCATCGATTAAGCTTTGCCATATTGATAAGTTGTTTTGCCCAGTACACTGATAAGCACGTGCGTATATATATATATATACATATATGTACGTATATGCAAGTATATATGTACAAGTATATAGATGCATTCATATAGCTCTTTCTGGCATCTAGCATTGACAATGTCAGTTAAAGTCTCATGAAAAATATACGACATCGTCGCCGTCTCTGTGTCTGGCATTTTATTCTCGACTCCATACTTTCCAGCGAACGGCCTTCATAGTATTTGGAGAGCAATTTGCGGTCAGAGTAGAGAGTGGACTGAAAAAGAGAGAGAGAGAGCGTAGGCTGGAGAAACTGTTCTGCCTTAGCTTCATCCGTTTTATTTAGCTGGCTGATTTGTTGTTGGGGCTTGGTGTGTTAGCCAAGAGAAACCAGCGTTCAGGTTGACTGACTTATTCACGCGAATGCCAAGCGGCTTTGTATAGTATAGCTGCCGATGCTCGGTGTTGTGGCTGCGATTCCGGCTTTGAGAGCGAATGCAAGAAAGTTGGCATAGCAAGCGGCAAAATAAGGGGGAAAAGTGGGGAAGTGTAACTAAAGCACGCACACATACATAGACGCAAACGCAAAGGCCTTGGTGAGCTGGTGGCTCAGAAGGTCACAACTTCAAAAGAGATAGCGGTGCAACCCGAAGAAACAAGATGAAATTCTATAACAAATTAAATCAATCCATAAAAAAACAAGTGCACATAAGTGATACACATACATATGTACATATGTCAATGCAGCATTCATAAAGGTACAGGCCTACACGAACCACTCATAAAGGATCTACAAACAAATATATCCATAGAAAAAGTTGATCTAGCCATGTCCGTCCGTCTGCCTGATGTACGCCTGAAATGTAAATTCTCTCTTTCATTTTCAATTAATCCTCCAAAAAGGTGACTTTTCACAAGTATCATCTACATACGTAACTGTAGTTCTCTTTTCTCCTTATTCTTTGGTTTTTTATTGTAAGTAAAGTTATTAGAGAAGCAAGTTTACTTTGTTGTTCTTCTCCTCCTTATAGCTATAATTATAGATTTGTTGTTGTTTTGTACAAAGCATTTCATTGTCTTAATCGCTCGACTGAGAAATTCGTTCTTTAAAATTGGAGACGACGAAAAAACTACGCTCTCTTCGTGTATCAGCTGACAAAAGTATATGTATGTATGAAAGAATTAGGAATTGTGGTCTAATTCGATTTAGTTTACTAAATTTATCATTAAATTTAAAACGTAGGAAACAACCCAATGGAGATAATTTTGTAAAGAACAAGCATTCAATAACCTGTCGGTTATGTACTTGTAAAAATGATTATAGAAGAAAATGCAGTACGGAAGCAGCTGTGCTATGCAGAAGTTTGCCTGTTCTTTTTTTATATACGCTAAGAGATACAAATAATTGTAAATGTAGATTGAGTCAGCGATATATGTACAAGTATGTACATCAAAATCACATGAGAACTTTGAGCGTGACTTTTTTATTTTTATTCTAAAAAAATAAAATAAAACAAATATGACACTGAGATGGCGACAGTGGCTGAGGTTGCAGATCGTCGCAGTGCTTTAAGCGAAAATTATAGATTTGCAAAATTAGCAAATTTGAAAAACCTTGCACCCACTTTAATCAAATCATTTTTTCAATTTAAATTAAATTGCAGACTAAGATTTAAAAAATATTTATAACACCCAAGTACATACATTTCAATTGCATTAATTTTAAACCAAGACAATGAGCTCACATTTATGTATAGCTATAAATTCCTTTAGAGTCACTGACAGCATGTTAAAGCTGAATCTGTGGTATGCAACAACCACTTCTATCTTGTATACTTTCTGCGATCTTTGCGTTCATGCAGGCGAACAGACATACTGATCAAGAATATACTATATACATTGTACATATGTAAGTATAATTTGCAGAGTCTGCCATGCATCTTTCGCAGTGTTACATAAATTCGCACTAAACTAAACCCTTCCAAATAGTTTTGGGTACAGGGTACCAGCACATAAAGGGCAACAGTAGGAAAGAACAATAATAAGTGCGACTCAATGAACAGCTGCTCCATTAGCAAAGTATAGCAAGGAAGAAGAGTGAAGAGAGATGAAGCAAAGCAAATACCACAAGGGCTGCAGACCAGATGCATTCAACGAACGACACTAGTTCCGTGCCAATTGCCGAACTAGTGCACCGTCATGGTTTCGACCGTCGATTTCAACGTGGGCCTTTCTGAACCGGTAAAAATGTCACACGCTTAACAGCGAAAAATGTATTCGCCAAGACGAATGAAACGCGGCACGTTTTTGGAATACTTTTTACAATTTGTTTGAAATACAGTGAGCAAGTTATTAAAATTAATTCTGAATGTCATTTGTTGTAGACGGGAGGCATTTACAAAAACGCTGCGGTTCTAATTGCTACAAAAACTGTTTTGAGTTGTCTGTAATTTTTGATTTTTACTCTTAAGTGTCTATAGATAATTTTCCTGTTATATTGGTAATCGAAGGACAAACTTTGTTGTGAAACGGATTTTTTTTAAAAGTATATGTACCACAATTTTTCTTAACAGAATGCCGACATTGAGAATTCTTGGGGTTTTCAAATTTTGGTGATCGTTACTTTTTGTAAAGTCGTAAATAGTGATTTCTTCACAAATTTCGCCTGTTTTCACGCTATGCACATATTTTTTTTGTGTGAACCTCTAATTTAAATTATTACAGACTTATTGTTTTTGTTTCTTGAAATAATAGTGGACACGGACATATTTGTATATTATGGAAACAATTTTTTGCAACTGCGCTCACTTATGTTTGGTGTTTGGATGTACGAATAACTAAACTTCTACTTTTAAGAAAGAAAAAACAGTTATTTTTATTGTGCAGCGTACAATAATAGGCAAAAACTGAAATATTTTCAATTAAAGTACGAAACATATGACATCGCCAAATAATATACACTTTTAAAATAAATGAGGCACTTCTTAGTGTGGTTCGCTTTTGAATTAAAGAATTCGTAAGTTGTTCATTCACTTAAGGTAACAAAAACTAGTTTTTTAACTAGTACAAGGGTAGAAATTGCCACTTTTACGCTGCAGGGAAGTTGACCGCACTGGCTCACACATGTGTCTGTATATATGTGTGTGTATGTGTGAAGTAGAAGCTGCATATTCACACATATACATACATACATACGTACACAGCCACAAGAGTGCAGAACAAGTTTTTTCTGACGGCGCAGAAGTTTTGTTGTTTTTCTCTTCTTTTGCATTTTGACGATGCAATCAAAGAAAAACTGACTTTCTTTAACAATTTTGCTGTAGTTGTTGATGCTAGCATTGTTGTTGCTTTTATTGCTGCTAGTGCTCAACATGTTGCAGACAACGACAACGCGACCGCTTTCGCAGTTTTCGCTTTTTTGGCACAGGGAAAAATAAAAATGAAATAAAAAAGATCACAACAGAAACTTGACTGACAAGCGGCTTTATAAACTTAGCCAGCTGCCACCACTTAGAGTTGCAACTGAAGAGCGCTACCTCGCTACCTCGCTTCCTGGCTACCTCTCTCGCTCTCTTTAAGCACAAAACTCGTTTGTGTGTTTGTAAGTGACCACGGCACAAAACTTACTCACACACCATTGCATACTCTATACCAGATACTAAATACACGCATACTTCGTGTATGTACGTACATACATATGTACATACATACGTATATGCAAAAGCAAAGCTACATGTAAGACACACAAATGTACATATCGCATGTAGGTACAAATGTACGTGTATAGCTATGTATGAATGTGTCCAGCTGGATCACTCACCTGGCAAATGGCGCCTGTTCCACATCGTAAATCTCATTGATGTCATTCGCGACAACCAATCCTTTCAAGCGTTCGGGCTCCACGTCCAGTAGGCCATCGCCTATGGAAAAAATTCCCTCCTCGGTAAACATTTTAACTGTTGACTGTTCTGTTTGTGGTATGCTTGCTCGCTCGCTCGCTCTCCGTCCTATTACTGTTGTATTACTGTTATATATTTTATTGTGTTTTTCTGGGCCTTTCTGTTTTATTCTTTCAATTATTGTTTTTGCGTCGTAGTTATGTATACATATGTAAGTAGACGTTTTTCTTTATTAGTTGTTGCAATCGCCTAGCCGATCCACGGTTTTTATGGTTGCTTACGTTACGAGGCGACCCGATATTCAAGCAAAACTGAAGAAAATATACTTTTATAAAGAATTGGTAAGACAAAAGGGTGCATACAAATTCGGTAAGAGCGCGAGCGTTTAGCCAATTAAAAAAAATTTGTTTGTTGTTGGCAACAAAAATTTTAGTGCGCCCTTTAAAGCAGCACTTTGTGATGCACGCACGCTGCAGTCGTCAGATATCAGAATAGCCTTTGTGCTGAAGCGTGATAGCAATAGGGATGCTGCACACACACACACAAACACACATACACACACATACGCGCAGAAACTATGCAGGCAGCTAACAGGGCCAACAACAGCCCAAGAAAATTGTCAGTTGTTAGAATCTACTACTTATTTAACGTCCGCCACTCGATATTAAAGTTCGAAATGAATTGTTTAAAGACAAAATGCCATTTGATTTAACGCACAAATAGTTTTGTACACGCACGCCACTCACGCACTGTACGAGATATACGAGTTACGCACACACAACACGTTTCGCGTTACTTTATAGACTATAATGTTGTCTGCGGCCAATGTGTATGTGTCATGTGTGTGTTGAATGTATTTGTATTGTATTGTTCTCCCAGCTAATTTTTTTCTGCAGCAAATTACGAACGCCGCTTTAGACCGTTATCTTAAAATACAACCAAAAAAAATTAAAAAAAAATATATAGTTGCTACGGTGAATTTCTGGCATTACGCACGCACACAATTAACGCAGAAATCTATACAGTCACGCTCCCACTACAACCACGGTTAAAAATGAACTGACTCCACACTGGAGTATCGATAGCTTAAAGCAGGGACTTTAAAAATATCGATGGTGTGGTGCATATGCCGGTGGTGAATTTGGCCAGCTGTGTTTAATTGCAGCTTAACACAACTGCCATTTAACAACACTGCTTACTGTGCAACACTGAGTCTCTGGTACTTTTAAGCGTGGCTTTAGAGCGCGCGTGATTCTTTATTTTGAATGTAATAAGTAAAGCGAGTGCTGCCGGCCTGCCTGTGCAAAGTTTAAAAGTGGAATAGTATGAAATGATGCCGCTGCTGCAGGAAGAAAATACATATACACACATATTTACATAGAAATAGGCGCCCTTTTTTCAGCTTTGCGTATCGTTACAAATACTTGGCGTCGTCTATACATATGTACATATGTATATGTATTCTTAATTTAGCCATTTGTATTTGCATTATGTTTCTGTTTATTACGTGGCGTGTGTTTGCGTGCGTGCTCTACTTGCGCAGCCGTCGACTGCATTTTCAGGGCGTATTTGTCGCCAGCGCTGTAGTCGCTGGCTTTTTATGTATTTTTGTCAGCTCGTCGCCATAGCCATCGCGATAGCCACACCGTGCGTCGCAGGCATCTCAGGAATGCGGCGCATATAAATAGCCAAGTGCAAAAACCTTTGCAGCTAGCCAGAAAGTCAGACAACGCATTAGTTTTCAGCTTCATATTTATGCATTTTATTTATAGATGCGAAATTCGCTACACCTTCGTCCAACGCCAATCGCCAGCATCATTGTAAGAACCAAGATCAGCCTGATCCTATTCTTTTGCCTAATATGTGTGCAGTGCGCTGAACTTTACGCTATGCCCTCTTAAGCATCCCGGTGTTGCCTGAAGCTACATACATATATACATATGTACATACCAACTAAAAATACTTAGATCTCTTCAATTGCGTTAAATGTCGTGTGCCACTTTGGTAGCATGTAGCGACAACAACAGCCCTCAACAACTACAGCGATTTAGTTCAAGTAGCACATTCGGCGAAGGGCATCTACTGCGAAATTCAAAGTGCCGCCATTTTTTCAAGTTTAGAAGATCCGGCTTTTGACCTACACGCCAAACGATCGGCAAACTGATGTTGCTTGAAGTCACTTGCAGATAAAAGGCCAAACCGTATTTTAATGCATTTGATAAGCTGGTTTGGAAACAAATGAAGGGTTACTATTACTCGAACTTCGTTGATGTCAAGTGGACGCTTCAATAGTGACTTAGTTGGTTCCTTTGTATTCCAATTACCACATCAAGAATAATTTGCGGCTTTGAAACCCTTGAGCACGACAACCGATATTAAATAAATTATCGGTATCGGTCACGCATGGCTCGATTTTTTTGCAAGCTACATCCAATATTGAAACGGTCCAAAGGCGACGCTCGAGAAGGTTTTGTTTTTATACCCTGTGCCCGTAAGGAAAAAAGCCTGAAGGAGGCATCCTCGACCCCATAACAGATATTCACTTAAAATTCTTACAGATATGCTCGATTTATACGACATCTTATTCCGTGTTTACACGGTAGATTGGTTCCAGAAAAAAGCCGTGTAAAAAATAATGGATCATATGGTATTTTAAATCGTGCTAAATTTTGACCCCAATACCTTGGAATACTTTGCTCCTATTTATGTCTGTATGAGCGTAAGGATCTCAGCAATTACAAGAGATACAAAAAATTAAAAAAATAAAATAAACTCGTCCTTACTCGGACCTAGGAGAATCTGGATGCCAACTTTGGTTATTCTAGCTTTTATAGTTTCTGAGATCCTCGCGTTCATCCAGACGGACGGACGGACAGACGGACGGACCTGTCTAGATCGATTTCTCTCGTCATGCTGATCAAGAATATATATACTTTATGGGGTCGGAGATGCTTCCTTCTGTATGTTACATACTTTGCACAAACCTAATATACCCTTTTTACCCTACGGGTACAGGGTATAAAAATCACTAAATAAAAGGCATATCAATTATGTAGGTACATATGTATATGTCAACGCTTACTGATCAGCTAAGTTGCTGTGAAGATATAAAGTTGAGAAATTGAGAGCCATGAACACAATCGATATATGTCGATGCATTTCTTAACGGCTGCCTAAATTTACATATTGTCTTAACCCTTTGTTTGACACAATCGCCTATTTTAATGATTTTTTATACCCTGTACCTAAAGGGTATACAACTAATTCTGTTTTTGCATGGTCCTTTTATACACTGTACCCAAAGGGTGAAAGGGTATACATACTAGTTTTGTGCGAATGTAGGTAACAGACAGAAGGATGCGTGGCAGACCCCCTAAAGTATATATATTATTGATCAGGATGAAAATCCGCGTCGATATAGCTATGTACGTCTGTCCGTCCGTATGAACGCAAGGATCTCAGAGAGTATAAGAGCTAGAACAACCAAACTTGGTATCTAGATTCTCCTAAGACCGAGAAACTACGAGTTTGAGTTTTTTTTCGATGCACCCCCCACTCCCCCGCATCTCGTACTTTTTCCATAGCTCCCGTAATTTTTGGAATTTGATGCTCAAATTTGGCAAATACCTCCAGTTAATGATTATGAGTCTGTGCCAAGCTTCATTACGATAGGTAAATTATTAAGAAACTTATAGCCATAAATATACTCTCTGCCGAAGCTCTGCCCGCAGCTGTTGTATTGCATACATACACGCTTATAAACTAAGGCGGCCAACCGTCCCGCATTGTGCGGGACAGTCCCGCATTGACAGGTGTTGTCCCGCATTGAAAAATCGAATAAAATAGTCCCGAAAAACCTGAAACGCGTCCCGCATGTCCCGCATTACCAACATGACATTTAAAATACATAATATAATAGAGTAAGAGATAGAAAACCATTGTTCTTGTCTACTGCATCTCCTCCTCCTGCTCTCCTGTTTGCCAAAACAGCGGTGAATTGAGGTGCTTAATAATCTAAGAGAAAAAGGAATACCAATGCAAAATTGCCTACTGGATGATAATCCAGTACCTTCTATGTTTTTATTTTCATTGATAATTGTTTTGTGGACAAACGTCACTAAAAGTGGACAGATTTCTTTTAAAATATAATAATGGCAGTTGCGGACAATTTAATGACATTATAAATAACAACTACCTTCGCAACTACCTTCACTCGTGTGTACATATGACACATCGAAAATAACACCTCCTTAAATTGTCCAGCATTGGCTTTTGAAAAAGTTGGCCGCCTTATTATAAACACGCATAGACACGATAATGTAAATGTATGCTATTGAAACTGTACATAAACATGTCTCCACTTTTGTATGTATGTGTGTACATATGTATTAAAATTTTGTTATATTATTAAAGTAATTAATTTAATTTTTTAAATATTTTTTAAATAATTTTTTTTTTTTATTTTGCTTTTTGTGTGTATTTTAATGTCGGGCTTGCTCGACTGTTGCATTCTCTCTTGTTTGTAATTCAATAGGAAAGTGAAAATAAGAAATACACATCATTTTATTTTTTGATTTACTGTGTTTTAGAATATATATTAAATACTTAGTGTATGCAACAAATATGCTGGTTGCAATGTTTTAATTGAATATAAACAAATTGTATTAAACGTACATACTTCAAATCCTTTGAAAACATTGATAAACATACATATTTAATTTAAGTAAAAACTCAAGGAATTGTTGTTAAAATACAGTGGACCTCCACACTTTTCCCACTCTTCTTGAGAGAATCCTGTGCACTTGGGGTATACATATACATATAAGAAAATTGTTTTTTCGGTCCAAATAGGCCAATGGCTAAACTGAGTAACATTTTATTTGGAATTTATTGTATGGGACCCTTCTGTCTTTTCATACCCTGTACCCGTAGCGTAAATAGGGTATATTAGCTTTGTGCAAAGTATATAACATGCAAAAGGAAGCATCTCCGACCCCACAAAGTATATATATTCTGAATCAGCATGACGAGAGAAATCGATCTAGACATGTCCATCTGTCCGTCTGGATGAACGCAAGGATCTCAGAAACCATAAAAGCTGGATAAATCAAGGTTGGTATCCAGATTCTCCTAGGTCCGGGAAAGGTCGACTTTATTTAATTTTTTGGAATTTTTCCCCCCTTCCCGCGGAGCTCGGTCAGAATCCACATCTATGATGGGAGTACCACTGCCACGCCTAATTCATGTGGGCGTTTAGCTCCACTCTCCTTTTCCGTGCTAATAATGGTTATTCTCTGACAAGTAATCACTTTCATCGTCAGCAGATAATCGAGATCATTTTTTTTCTAAGCCTTTTCACTGATTTTATATCTAATTGAAAAGTACATTTGGAAAACATATATATATATATATAAACAAGAGAGGACGCTACAGTCGAGCAAGCCCGACAGTGTAATACCCTGTACTCAGGTAAACTTCCGTTACTGAGTTATATGCGCCCATAGCAGCAGCAAAAAGAGGAAGAAGAAGAGCGAACTTGTTGCTGCAGTTTGGGGGTTGTACTGGAGAGAATTTGTTTCGCTAATAACTTTTCTTAGAATTGACCGAATTGGATAAAATTGAACAACAGTAGATAATTATATATAAATGATGTGTGCAAAGTTTGGTTTAGGTAGCATTTGAAATGTGGACGCTATTGACGAAATTCTGTAGCGGGGGAGGGGGGGAAAATTAAAAAAAAAAAAACCTAGGAGAATCTGGATGCCAACTTTGTTTATTCTAGCTTTTATAGTTTCTGAGATCCTTGCGTTCATCCAGTCGGACGGACAGACGGACGGACGGACATGGCTACTTGTAGATCGATTTCTCTCGTCATGCTGATTCAGAATATATATACTTTATGAAGTCGGAGATGCTTCCTTCTGCATGTTACATACTTTGCACAAACCTAATATACCCTTTTTACCCTACGGGTACAGGGTATAAAAAGTTTGTCCTGACTGTCTGATTGGTGATCAACGCACAGTCCAAACGGCAAGAGCTATGAAGCCAAAAATTTCTAGTGAATATTGAATATAATTAAAAATGTTCGCATTGACTCACTGATTAAGGATATACTTGTATATAAATTTGGCCTTATTCCTTATGAAACAGACGAAATTTCAGCTTGAGTTTTAGTTTTAATCAAAAAAATAAAACTCAAAGAATAATCATTATTTTATAAATTTTATATTTTTGCTCATCAATAATGGTTATTGGTTAATTTTTAAAGTAAAACTCAAAATTAATCATTAAATTGTGAGCGAATTAATAAAATTAAAAAACAATCATTATTTTGTAATTGTTTTAATAACACTTATAATGATTACAGTCCCTGCGAAAGACCATTATCGGAGAAATGGGGGGGGGAATCAAAAGAATAAAACAAACTTGTAAAGCATACACACATAACGCAGCTTTTTGCAGAATGTGGTGTCTCTAGCTCTAATAGTCTCTGAGATCGAGTTGTTCATATGGACAGACAGACATAGATCGAGTCGTCTATGGTTATCGAGAATATATGCCACGTCTCCTTCTGCGTGTTACATTTTCACCTCCCGCAAACCTTATATGGTATATATACATGAATATACCGTTAGTCTGAGTGTTTGCATTGTAAGTATAGTATTAACAATTTTAATTCTTCATAGTCGTTAACAACGAAGGCTGCCAGACGAGGTACAGTGTGCTTGACTGGAAATAAAAAACTCCCAACCTGTTGGATGTAATATTAGCAGTTACAAGTTATCAATTTAAATGTTAGTTTTGTTCCAATGTTATAAACCATTTTGAGATAAACATATGCACATAGTATTGGTATTTATATGCTACAGAAATAAAATTATACGATTCAAGTGCTTAAGACAACGCTTTATTTGCAACAGCAGCCTAGACAAAGGGAATTCAGAGCCCACCGGTTGGTTTCAATCACCACCACAGTATTGGCACTGTGCTCCGGAACTAGTGGCGGCAGCATCGTCACCGCTGTCCGCATCATTTTCGCCGCCCTCAGAGGTATCGCCACCACTGCTACGATAGTCATCGATGATCGCCTGCAGCTCCTGTTGGGCATCTATGAACTCCTGCTCCTCCATGCCCTCACCGGTGTACCAGTGTAAATGGGCCTTGCGCCGCAACATAATTGTGGACCCGTCGAGCAAACGCTGAAACAGGGACTGAATCGCCGTCGTATTTCCAATGAAGGTCGCAGACATCTTAAGTCCCCGGGGTGGGATATCACAAATGGCGGTCTTGATGTTGTTTGGGATCCAGTCGACGAAATTGTGCAAGTTCTTGTTGCGCACGCCCGTCATCAGTTGGTCGACTTCGCGTGGAGACATTCGCCCGCGGAAGATGCCGGCAGCGGTTAACAACTTGCCCTTGCGAAGGTCAATGGCACAGAGCAAATTATTTGACGAAAATATCTGCTGGACTAGCTCGGAGACAGTTCCCTTGCTGAACTGTTGCTGTTTGCACGTGACCAGGGGCGCGAAACCAGGTATGAGAAAATGTAGACGCGGAAAGGGAACCATATTTACATAGATCTTACGCAGACCCGCATTTAATTGACCCGGAAAACGCAAGCAAGTCGTAATTCCAGACATGGTCAAAGCTACAATGTGATTGATATGCTCATAGCCGGACATTCTGATCTTGAGATTGCGATTGCATATCTGGAATAGCGCCTCGTTGTCCAGGCAGAAGGTCAAATGGGAATTGTTCACGAGGGCCGGAATACTGAGCAGTGCATTATAGGGCTCCACTACAACTTGCGACATATTGGGCGAAGGTATGGTTACATAATTGCAAAGTAAATTGTCTGGATACTGTTCAACAAGTGCCTCCATGATTAACGACGTGAGTCCCGATCCCGTACCACCGCCAATAGAGTGTAATAGCTGAAAGCCTTGAAGGGAATCCACAGACTCGACCTCCCTTCGCGTATTGTCCAAAACCTGATCGAGAATTTCGGCGCCATCCGTATGATAGCCGCGCGCAAAATTGTTCCCCGCACTCTCCGAGCCGGCTACGAAGTTTTCGGGTCTATAGAGCTGGCTGCTCACATTTAGCCTCTGTATGGTTGCCGCCTCCGTATCAATAATAATGGTGCGGGCATAAAACCTCTTGCTGGCGGTAGCATTGAAAAATACATTGATGCGCTCCAGCTGCAACGGGCTCGTGCCACCGAAGCGCCCAGAAGCATAATCAACACCATGCTCATGCGAGATGACATGCCAGAACTAAGGAATGAACGTAAAGTAAAGTGGTGGTCAGGTCTTGAGATCAGTGCCAACACTTGTTAGGTCAACTAGCCCATGCTGGTAAGCACTATGTATATTGTACGGCTGTTCAATTACGCTAGCAGTAAAAAATAGTGCTTATTAGGCTATACTGGAGTTACCCTTACCGCATCTCCAATGGCATTACCAGCGCCTCCGATTTGTAATGTCACTATTTCACGCATTGCAGGCCTCGCGCCGCCAAAGCCTTAGTGTTGTCCAACGACTTGAAGAAGCCTTGGGCTGATAACTTTCCAAATTTTCAGAAATGGCCGAAAAGATTTTTTTTTTTTTGGGTGTGCGTTCCGCTTAATTTTGGCCACCGGACTGCATTTTAGTCCTTGGGATTTCGACCCGGCCTTTTGCGTTTGCTAACAGTTTCCCCCCAGATTTTCGTTTAAATTTTTGCTTGTGCGTATTTGAGTGCAAATCAAAAGTCTAAGCACGCTATTTTTATATTTCGAACAACATTTTTCGAGTTCTCGAAATGGATGGGTGTCCGAATCCATTGCATTTATTGGAGCAATTGCTGAAATTTTTGGTAAATAGGGATAATTAAATAATCGCCTGTTCAGCGTTTTGGGAACCAAAGTAAAGTATGGCTAAAAAGGACGATACAAAATTAAGAGGCGTTAACCCGCTATGATAAGATGGATTCGGAAATTGGGGGTTGCAAGAATTGAAATTGAATTCTTCCATATTAGACTAATATTCTCCAAATGTCCTCCATTTACGTATGCACGAGATTAATATGACCTGAATTCACGGTCATTGCCCCTTTTTTTAAAAAAAGGAAGGTAACATATGTATGTATGTATATCATTTTTAGCAATAAAAATGCTGTGTAGCGATTCTAAATTGTTGAAATGAAGCGTTGCATCAGATTTTTCCTCCAGATAATCGACCAACTAAGTCTGCTATTTGAAAAAATTAATGATATTTCGCTGAATGCTTTCTTTTTTGAATGCAAAGCCACTGTGAAGACTTCTGCCACTGTTGAGGCATCGAGAAAACCTTTATTTATCCGTCCGATATCGTTCATTATAAAAATTTCGTCCGTGGTTCACAGACATTCTGAAAGATATTGTCCATCGATTTTTGCGTACGTTCGTACATTATTCAATTGATAAATTAATCTAGGGGGGAGGGAGAGAAATTGCAAAATACACATTTTCTGCGAATTCACATAAGGCATCTTGGAATACAATTTCCGAGATATAGGTGAACGGAAAATCGGGAAAAACCCCATAGGGGGAAAGTGGGGGGAAAAAAATATAACAAAATTTCACAGCGTTCACAAATAAAGCATCTTTGCGCAAAATTGGTGTCTCTAGCTCTTATTGTCACTGAGATCAAGGTGTTCATACGGACAGACAGACAGATTGACAGACGGACAAGGCTACATCGACTCGTCTTGTCATGCTGATCAAGAATATATATACTTTATGGGGTCGGAGATGCTTCCTTCTGACTGTTATATTTTTTGGGAGAATCTGGATACCAAGTTTGATTGTTCTAGCTCTTACACTTTCTGAGGTCCTTGCGTTCATACAGACGGGCAGACAGACGGACGGACGGACTGACGGACATAGCCATATCGGCTCGGCTTGTCAACCTGATCAAAAATATACATATGTACATATATATATGACACGCCTGCTACATACATTCGCACAAATATAGTATACCCTTTTACTCTTTAAGTTCAGGGTATAAATGAAGCATTAAAGGTACATATGTATGTAATTGCCGTTCTTTTTATGGATACCAAGTTTGGTTATTCTACCTCGTCTACTTTCTGAAACGGATGGAAAGACGGACATGGCTGTATCGACTCGGCTTATTAAACAGATCAAAAATAAAAATACCCCGTGGGGTCTGCCATACCTTTTTTGTGTGTTGCATACATTCGCAGCAAACAAGTATACCCCTTGGGTACAGGGTATAAAAAGCAGGTGGAAAAGCTAAAGTCGGGTTTCCCGATTTTAAAACACTCCGTATATGTACAGAATAGAATATTTATAGAAAGTAGAAATGTTAAGAAAATTTAAAAAAGGAAAAATATTTTCGATTGATTCATGTAAGTCTGTAAATGTCTATGCGTGCCTGTGTGTGTATACTTTGTGTGTGCCACGCCTCCTTCTGCCTGTTATATTTTCCACTTTCCGCAATATACTCTTGTAAATTTCATATACAAGTACAAAGTATAAATATGTGCTCGGAGTACGAGTCTAATCTGCCTGCAGCTATTGTAATTGTTGGTGATTTGCTTTAACTCTGTGCAGCCCACACACACGCACACAAATACGCGTAGGCACACACAGGCATAACGGCGCTTGCACTGATATGTTGTATACAATAGGTCTGAAGCAGAATCGCAGAGCACTGCTCACAAGAGTGGCGCGCTCAGTCATGTAGAAGGTGTCCTACAGACGCGGCCTCAGAACCATGAGGATCTGCTTTGGGTTCAAGACGATTTGTCGGTGGCTCGGTGGCAGGCACCTCAACGACCGCGTTACGGCAGGACGCAAGGTGTCGCAGCCTAGAACGTCGAGGGACGCCTCGTCTAATCGCCAACATTAAGGCGTGGATATAACGCAAGCACGGAGCAGTCCAATCTCGGCGGACAACGTTGTGAGTACAAGGTATAGACATAGAAACAAACAAAAATTCATCTCATCGAGCTGGTCGTTTACGAATATATAGTACACACATGGGGTCTATTACGGAGCGCTGTAGGCGTTACACCAAACGCCATATAATTTTTACCCAAGGGTAGAATGATGTTGATGGTCATGTTAGAGAAATGACTAGAAACACCAACAGTCAGTGATCCTGTTAAAAAATCGATTTGGCAAAAAACTTTTTTTTGTAGTACTGGGTGCATTGCACTGTATAATACGTACGCTTATGTAAAACTACTGTGACAATGTGAATTAGCATTATTATACATTTTTAATGCTGTAGAGGTCAGCCATTAATTAGAAGATTCTAAATGCAGTGCTGCTTTTCTCATCAGTTGACTCAGAATATAATTTTTTAAAACGTTTTAGAGTTTTACTACAATTAGTTTAATAAAAAAAAATTACAGCAAATTAAATGAAAGGGGAATATTTTTATATGTGTATGGGTTTAATTGCTTAACCAAGGCGTGGTCAGGCTCAGCTCCGTGTGATAGATTGCTGGAGGGATAATGCACATTAAATTGTTTTGGGCTAAACAACCACCGGCTGGCAACTTGCATATTTGGCATTTCAAGGCCCCGCCAGACCCTCAATGAGCTATTTTTCTTTTTTTTCGGCGGACAGTGAATTGTATAGGCGGTTCACTTCGTTGGCTACCAGATGGTCCAGAATGATACCATTGTTGTCGATGAAAGCGGCGCAGGATTTACTGCTTGATACCTCACGTGTTCCCTTTGCATCCTTAACGGTCAGTGTGAGCAGGTACTTGTCATCGTACTTCTTCATATCCGAACTTGCCTCCCAGACGCTTTGTTGCTTGCCACCGGTTTCTTTTTGTACGGCCACCGCGAATGTTCCCTTCTCACGGAATGTTGTGTGCAGCGTCAAGACACCCATCAGCGCAAAATAGGCCAACACACTTAAAAGCAGCACAGGACGAGATTGCGGAAAGGGATGCGTGAAGTCCCAGGCGTGTGCCATGACAGCAACACCAACGGCCAATGCACAAAGTGCTAAACGCGCGTTGACCAAGCCAAATTGTTCCTTCAACTGTGGGCGGTCGCCTAGGAGGCAGGTCTTGACCGCATCATCTAGGGCATGCTTCACCGCCGAGCCATCCCATTTATTGACTTTCACCAACTGCATTATAAGATATATGCAATTATTACAGATAAATCGAATCGCCGAATGACGTGTACTAAAAATCTGGTGGCAAACCCAAGCGTGTACCACCAAAGCAAGTATTTTTTACTAACCTCATCGGCCGGCAGGGACTTGTCTTCCTTTTTAGCCATTTAATCGAAATCAATTTAAGTAAACTGCTTCTCAACCAAAATTGTATCAAAAAAACTTTGCAATTGACAACGCGACAACGAAACGGAGTAGCAAATGTATCGCAGCCTAGCGATTGTATTTTTATCGATAAACTAAAACGCCGCATTATACTCGATACCCAGTTTCAAATGCTTGCACTCAACTGTGTTGAGTGATTTAATATGTAAAAAAAAATAAAGACAGTACAAAACAATAATAATAGTTAATTACTAATAATGGAATTTTTCATCTACATGGACTTCATTTGTGCAATCAAATCATCTAGGGAGGCATCTGCGCCCACATCGCCCGCTATTGGCGCCGCAACGTCAGTTTCCGTCTTCTCCGGTGCTTCGTAGGCCAACCGCAGTCCAGCACCAACCTCTAAACTTGTTTGTTTGTCCTTTTGTTGGTCCTCCTGCGATAATTCGTCATCGCCCATCACCTCAATGCCCCATTCATTAACGGGATGTAAGGGTTCACTTGGGGCCTCTTCGATAACAGCTGCTACTTGCTTAGGACGAGCTTGGAATTCCTTTTGTCGCAGAAGACAATGACGATCATCACACTGCGGATTCGGCTTTAGTGCCATTTTGGGAAAGAAGTCGTTCATTGCATTGTAGCCCAAATAGTCGGATACCTCACCAAAAGCCAGCAAATATTTAAGCGCATTCTGCACCAAAATTCCAGCTGTAATACCCATGGTCGTTGGCAAAGATGCGGCGCACACTCCGTCACGCTTGAGCGTACGCTCGTCAATGTTCTCCGCCACGACCAATGGAGGAGCACATGCAAAACAAGCTGTATCTCCTGGACGAATGAATTGAATGTGACCCGACACAGCATTTTCCGAAACGCCCGATTCAAACCAAAATAGATTTAGCTCATTACATGCCGCGTTAATGGCCATGCGTGCCTCAAAATTGTCCACACAACTGAGTATCAAGTCTACGGACTTGCCCTCAAGACTATTTTTCGAGATGGTGGTTAGAAAATGGTTGAAATTCTCCACTGTTGTAATATTGTAGTTGTGCGTCTCGATGCGCACATCTGGATTTATGAAGCTTAGAGTGCGAGCAGCAGCTTCCACTTTGGACAGGCCCGCCTGGTCGGGTGTGAAGAAAAGCCGATTCATATTCGCCAACTCTACTTTATCATAGTCGAAGAGTATTAGCTTGCCAATGCCGCAACTGGAGTAAGAAAATGTTGAGTGTGATTTCATTTCTTTTAGATTGCACCCACCGTGTCAGCATATCGGCAGTGACGCTGCCCACGCCTCCAATTCCCACAATGGCCACAGTCTTGTCACGTATGCGCTCATACTCCTTTACAATGTTCATGCGCTGCAATGCCATAAGGCGACTGTAAGGATTTGAATCAACAACTTCAGCGGACATATGAGCAATTCGCTCGCGTGCTGTGTGTGTAGATTTCTTTTGTTCTTCTAGTTCACTACGCAGCTTTGCAATAATTCCTCGCAAATCGTCGATAACAGAAGCCATTTTCGCATATAGTAGGCAAATAATTCGAATAAATTTAATCCAGAGTACAATAATGATTTGCTTGTCGTCGTGTCACTTTCACTATAAACTGTCCGTTTGCCAGCTGTGTTTGCGGTGCTGCCAGAGCGTCTAGTTATGTTTGATGGCATCACTATATTCTGCGAAGAGATGCCGGCTTGGGTACCCAGCAACTTCTAAATTGTCGAAGGTCTGTATTATCAAATCACCAGTTCAACATCAGTTGCATACGAAATCATTCAGAAATCATTCATCCCCTTCTTGATGGCAGAAACTACATACATACATATGTATTTAGATGGTTGTTATTATGGTTGGTGTAAACCTATCAGAGTACATGGTACAAATATTAAAACGTACGACTTGTTGCTTGTCTTGCGTATGTATCTACCCTACCTATGCATGAGTCCCAGCTTATTTCGTGCAGGCGCTAAAATTTATTTGAAATGTCATTATATGCAAAATATGAACGATAGCCAACAAATTTAAACGCCAATTTTTTGATAACTAAATATTTATTTTAAAAGTAGTTGCTTTGTTTTTTATCAATCATATGTAACTAACAAGAAAGGAATGCTTAAGTCGAGCGAGCTCAACTCTTAAGTACCCTGTACCTCCCACCAAGAATAAAACAAGATAAAACGCTACAGTCGAGCAAGCTCGGCAGTAAAATACCCTGTACTCCCCCCAAAAAGAATATATAAAAAAAATAATTAAAAAAAATTAATTAATTAAATTGCGAATTGCGAAAGAGTGAATTAGAATAAAAAAAAAACAAACAGACCTGCCTAGGGCTCAGGGGAACCTAGATACCAAGTTTGGTCATTCTAGCTCTTGTACCTTCTGAGATCCATGCACTCATACAGACGGACATGGCTATATCGACTCGGCTTGTCACCCTGACCAAGAATATATGTATGTATATACTTTGTGTAGTCTGCCACGCCTCCTTCTGCCTGTTACATACATACATTTGCACAAAACTAGTATACCCTTTTGGTACAGGCTATACAAAATAACAACAACTAAAAAGGTGGGAATTTTTTAGGTCACAGCTTATTTCGTGCAGTGGCTTCAGACTTAAAAAAAAGTATTCGAAATTAATATTTAATATTTGGTTCGGCCATTTTTTTTTCGGTTAACCATTAGACTTTGCTCACGAACGGAAGTCACTGCACGAAATAAGCTGTAACCTTTTTTATACTCTGTATATTACATTTGCGAGAGGTGAAAAATGTAACAGACAAAAGGAGGCGTGGCAGATAAGACGCATAATTATTTTACACATATGTATGTACAGAGTATTTCAAAGTCGGAACACCCGACTTTAGCTTCTCTACTTGGTTTTGGTTGCAATATGATCCATTTATGTTTTATTGAAAAATGAAGTAATGCTCGAAAATCACTGAACATGTTAATTATATATTCTAAATTAGTACCTACATATCTGCATTCCAAACATTTTGATACAACAATGCGTTTACCTTCTACGGTGTTTTAAAGATTTGTACAACGCTTGCACGAAATAAGCTGTGACTCACTTTACATACATACATATGTACATATGTACATACATCCATATAAATCCTGGCAAACATGTACATAAATATCTATATATATATAAAACAGTTTGTCCAGACTGACTGACTGATTGGTGATCAACGCACAGCCCAAACGGTAAAGGCTAGGAAGCTGAAATTTTGACTCAAGTATCCTTTCATAGTATCCATCATAGTGTAGGAGCACACTAAGAAAGGCTTTTGGAAAATTCTAGCTCCAACGGGGGGAAAACGAGCTTTAAAAAATATTAGTTATGTTCGTTTAACGAAATAGTTTGTCAAGAACAAAAATGTAACGGACTACTGAACAATTTTTTGTCAAGAACAGAAAATGTTCATTTAAATACCTTAAATGCCTTCCTACTGGTAACCTCTAAGGTGAAAACATATGGGTAGGTTATGCACACACAAAATAAATACAATTGGAAACATATTGAGCCGGGTTAAGACGGGCAATACCTGCTAGTGTATGTATATACATATACTTACCAGAAAAACTATGCGAGCAAGAGCAATGCATAAGTTTATGGATCTAGATATATATGATATAGTGAAGATATCACCCTCATTCTTTCAATTTTATATTAATAACACATTTTATCAGCTTTTATTTTTTTATTTTTTTGTTATTAATCTAAGTCATTACCTTAACTTAATATGTACAACTAAAAATGTTAAAAATCGAACTGTCATTTCGCAAGGAAAAGTATCCGTAGAAACTAAGTAGTAAGAGAAAAAAACTGCATTTTATTAATAATAATTCAACTCTTAAATACCTTGTACCAGCTCCCAAAAAACAAAGAAACATGTTTAAATACCCTGTACCTAAAAGGGTGCGAATGTATGAAACACGCTAGGTTGGCAAATCCCACGGCGAATACATACATACATATATCTGATGTTCAGCATAACAAGCCGATATAGTATGTATGTACATATGTCCTTGATAAGTATGACAAGCCGAGTCAATATAGCCAAGTCCCTCAGTCCCAGAAACGAAGAGTTTGGGTATTTATATGAAATGTACGTATATGAATATACAAGAGTATATTAGGTTTTCGAGAGGTGAAAATGTAACACGCAGGGGGCGTGGCAAACTCTTTAAAGTATATGTATATGTATATTCTTGATCAGTATGACAAGACGAGTATATGTGTCTGTCCGTATTAACAACGGGATCTCAGAAACTATAAGAGCTAGAGATACCAAATTTTTCACAAGGATGCTTTATGTGTGTACGCTGGACAAGATTGTTGTATTTTATTGTATTTCACAAATTTCAACCTTCTCCCCGTTCCCCTGCAATTGGAAAATCAATTTCCATAGCTCCCATAATTGTTGGAATTTTTGACTCAAATTTGGCCTTCCTCCAGTTGGTGATTATGAGTCCGTATGCCAAGTTTCATTATGATAGGTCCATTTGAAAGGAAGTTATATCCATAAATGAAATAATTTTTTTTATTTTTCCTGGGACCAGAACATCCCTATAATTCTGGTCCGATAATTTTGTTAATTTTTGGAATTTCTGTACACATACTATATGTACAGAGTATTTCAAGTCGGGACACCCGATTTCAGTTTCCAGTTGTTTTTTATTTCTGATGCACAACATAACACTCCCCCGATAAATGTGATTTTCTATAACCCATTCCTGGAATTTTTTCTCCAACTCTGGTAAGTAACTTATGTGTCCTCATGTGGAGTTTCATTATGAAATGTCAATTGTTAAAATAGTTATAGCCGTAAATATAATCTTCGTCCGCAGCTGTGGCTGGTTTGTCTCATTCACAATTCAGATGTTAATGAAGCTGTGCATAAACATATGGTTTGAGTATGGCTTTGTGTTGATACTTTAAATAATCTGTACCTGAAAAGTTCAAGAGTATAACAGATTAGTGTAGAGGGAAAAATGTAACAGGCAGAGGAGGTCTGGCAGACCCCACAAATATTCTTGATCAGCATGACAGGACGAGTCGATTTAGTCCGATTTTGTCCGTACGGACACCTCGTTCTCAGAGCCTATAAGAGAGCTACATACAGATGACTTATATGTACGAGTATGTGTACGCTATGCAAGTGTTTTGTTTATTTTTTTGAATTTTACAAATATTTTTTAAATCTAAACTGTAACTGGTGACGTCATAAAGGAGCTCTGAATAAGAGATCTGCTCAATGCCGTGCCTTGAAAAATAATAGACACTGTTTCCATTATTAAGCCATTCATTTAATTAAATACACAAAATATTACATCTCTTTCGTTTTAGTTATGTTTTATAGTGTCGGTGCGGTTCTTGTTGCTGTCATAATTTCTTAATTTTAAATGCAATGCGTTACACTTGCAACGACAGAAGAAAAAGAAGAATAAAAAAAACACATCAATTAGAAATAAAATTACATGCTATTTTTAGTAGTATGGGGTATATGTGTGAGATTTTATTTATTATATTTATAGACCGGGACTATCACTTGCGAAAATATAGTTTGTATGCATATTTTATGATGAAGTTGTGTCCTGCGCCGTCGCCTTGCTCGATCTTCCCGTCACCAACTGGCGCGGCTGCAGACGAACGCGAAAGCCCTCCTCCCGTTTTAGTATAATGTCCGCTTGCAGCTTAAAATCGGCCTCGCTGAGATCCGAATACACACGATAATTTCGCAAAATGGTCGACAAAAGAATCTTCAGCTTCAGCATGGCGTACTTGCGACCTGACAACGATAAAAGTATCAGGAAAAGCATCAATTTAGTTATTGAATTGTTAGTCGGCAGCTAAGTTAGCTAAGTATTAATAGTAAACGTATTAGGAGGTATTGATTTAATGTGTGGCCAATAATTTGTAACTCACCCACACAACTCCGCGGTCCTGCAGAGAATGGCACAAACGCGTAATAATGACGATTCGCCTGACGCTCAGGCAGAAAATTGTCGGGATCAAAAACATTGGGGTTAGTGTAGACCTTCGGATTGCGATGCAGTTTAATGGTAGCCACCGTTACGGTCGCACCCCGTGGTATAACATAATTTCCTGATGCCAATTTTAAGTCCTCTTGTAGCTCGCGTGCTATCAAAGGTACCGGAGGAAACATACGTAGGGTCTCCATCAGACAGCGTTCCAAGTATTTCATTTCCAGAGTGTCCTGAAAGGTGGCCGGTCGCTGGGAGTCCCCAAAAATGCCGTCTAGCTCAGCAATCACACGATCCTGTATATCTTGGTGAATTCCCATCAGCGACAAGAAAAATGAAGAACCCGCAGCTGTTGTGTCATGACCCTCAAACATGATGGTGTCCACCTGCTCCTTGATCTCCGTATCAGTAATTACAGCGCCGTTCTGTGCACTTTCCAGCATTAAATCTAAAAACGCCAATCGTTTCTTCTCACCAATATCGTTGTCTTCCACATCAAGATCATCCTTCAGCCCCGCTGACTGCCCATACGAAAGGCCTGCAACGCTGCTACCCTCCTGATCGTCGGCTGGCAATGCTGTTCCTGCCATCGCTCCCGATTCCAGGGCAGCTGCTTTTAATTCACTGTGCGCCAATGAGCCCCGTGCTCCTTGCTCAAAGGCTGCTTTCTTGCTGCGAATGACCTTGGTAGTTAAGCCATGTATAATGTTCAGCAGACGACCTTGCTCCTTATAGTATCGTGTCAGTGTGAAGATAAACTCGTTGCGTAGGAAGATACTGCGATGTCTCGCATGCAATATGTCGCACATGCGCATCACAGCCATCGCATATTCAAAGCCCGATTTGTCTTGGGTCTCCTTCGATACGCCCATGGCGGTCTCTGCAAGTCAAAGCATAAACATATGAACGTATGTCTATAAGTACGTGTATACGGAATGCTATTGTGGTTAGATTGTTCAAGTGGAATGCACTCAACTGACCCATGAGGGCATAGAGATGGACAATTGAATTCAACAAAAGCTGACTTGCGGCTGTCTAATTGTAGGTACAATGAGTAAACGAGGCAGCGCTCCAGAACCAAATAAGACTTCGTCTAGTGTGGCGTATGTGCAATATCCGCATAATTAGCATAGCAGTCAGAAAAAGCTCAGATAAGAAATTACGAAATAATGAATGAAGTGGGTACAGAAGCAAGAAATTGTAACCCCTCTTATATATATGTACATACATATGCATTCAAACTAACCTAACTTAACTTAAAAAAAACTTCTTATATATAGTTTGTACCAGTATACAAAATAAACACGTCTTTGTGAGTTTTAAAACATAGCTTAGCTTAGGTCCAACAATTTCCATTCCGCTAATATACGAAAGATAATGCACCGATTCAAACGAAAATTCAAATTATAATGAGGCCTTACAAAACTGTTACAAGTACAAAATTTGGTCCAGACATATTTATTGAATGAAAAAGGATTTTGGCGAGAGTGATTTTTTTCACCTATTGTGAGGCATTATAAGAAACTAAAACAAGAAAGGAATGCTAGACTTGAGCGGACACAACATTTAAATACAAAAAAACTTTATTTAATTTACCAAATTTTATATTAAATATTCAACACATGCATACATACATACGTGTTTATGTACAATTTCATTTATATATAAGTATGTATGTAGCACAAAATTGAACCAAAGCAGCAACAACAACAACATTTGCGGGCAGAGCTTGGGCAGAGACTATATTTATGGCTACAACTTTCTTCATAATTAACCTATAGTGGACATATAATCAATAACGAGATGTAGTTACCAAATTTGAGTTCAAAATTACGGGAGTTATGGAAAAAACATGAATTGCTGGGGAGTGAGTGGGTGTATCAGAAAAAATAAACAAACTTGGTCGACTTAGGGCTCAGGAGAACCTGAAGTTCAAGTTTGAACTTGCTGAGCTGCTGGTGTTCATACAGACAGACAGATGGACGGACAGACGGACATAGCCATATCTGCTCGTCTTCTCATACTGATCAATAATATATATGCTTTTTACATTGGTACAAAACTAGTATAGCCTTTTACAAGCTATAAAAAATTCCGCATGTGCTTTCTTAACATATTTATCGTGTAAGTCTATGTTTATAAAACAATGCCTATGGTCCTTAATATATTACCTTTACTCAAGGGCGTAGGCAGTGGGGGAGGGGGCAACGGCCCCCACATAAAGTCGACCACACGTTCATTATTATGACGCACTATTTCGTCTTAAAATGGATTTGTTGAAGTTTTTTCATTGATCATATGCATAAGTTATTATACTCTGTACATGAAATGTACAGAAGTATATTAGGTTTGCGGGAGCTGAAAAATGTAACAGGCAGAAGGAGGCGTGGCAGACCCCACAAAGTATATATATTCTTGATCAGCATGACGAGACGAGTCGATCTAGCCCTGTCTGTCTGTCTGTCCGTCTGTCAGTCTGTCCGTCTGTCCGTCTGTCCGTCCGTATGAACACCTGGATCTCAGAGACTATAAGAGATAGAGACACCAAATTTTGCACAAAGATGCGTTATGTGTGTATTCTATACGAGTTTGTTTTATTTTTTTGATTTTCCCCCCCACTTCTCCCCTATGGGGGTTTTCCCGATTTTCCATTCGTATAATCGCCTATATCTCGGAGACTATAAGACCTAGGAACACCAAATTTTAGTCCCAGATGCCTTATGTGAATACGCAGAAAATGTATATTTTGGAATTCCCCTCCCTCCCCCCTCTACCCCGGAAATCGTAACTCCCGTAATTCTTGGAATTTCGAACTACAATTTTGGAAATACCCCCAGTTGGTTATTATATGTCCGTATACCAAGTTTCACTATGATAGACCGATTTACCAAGAAGTTATAGCCATAAATATATTTGCTGCTGCAGCGCTGCTCAAGCGCTGCCCGCGGCTGTTGTTGATGTTGCTGTTTGGTTGACTGCGAAAATGCTTACACAGACACGAATAGATGCGCATAGGCATACATACACTCACACAGACGCAATTGCTATGTAAATGTGCAATTATAAACCCTTTACGTGAGTTCGAATACCGAGAGAGGTAAAATCGATCAATTTTTGTTTTTTTTTAATTTTCTTAATTTTTTTATTTTCTATAATTATTGTAAGCATATGTACAGAGTATTTCAAAGTCGGGACACCCGACTTTAGCTTTTTTACTTGTTTTTTAAATGCATCGTGTATTATTTTATCAAAATTTTAATTTTTTGGCCCCCCTTTGGTAAAAGCTGCCTATGCCCATGCCTCTGCTTATTACACATTTCAAGTTATTTGGCATTCTACTTTATGGTTAATACGGAGAGAACTACTGACACGTCTTCAACACATTTCGCGTTTTTAAATTTTAGTATACTGTATCGGTGACTTTCGGGAACAAAGAAAAGAATGTACAATACCGATAGATTTTCTGTGAATTATAGTTGTTTTATTTAGATCTCCCAGACCCGACAATGAAATACCCTGTACCCAAACAAACATCCACCGATTGCAGAAGCAAAATGAAGAAGAACTCCTATAGCTTGTGGGCGTAGTACTGGACTGAAATTGTTTCGCGCTAATAACTTTTCTTAGAATTGACCAATTTGGAAATTTAACACAAACGGTTGAGAGCTATAATGCACACTTCTGAAAATTCTAAAAATGCTAGCGATTATAAACCATTTAATTATACTCTGTACATGAAATGTACAAGAGTATATTAGGTTTGCGGGAGCTGAAAAATGTAACAGGCAGAAGGAGGCGTGGCAGACCCCACACAGTATATATATTCTTGATCAGCATGACGAGACGAGTCGATCCAGCCCTGTCTGTCCGTCCGTATGAACACCTGGATCTCAGAGACTATAAGAGATAGACACGCCAAATTTTGCACAAAGATGCCTTATATATGTACGCTATACGAGTTTGTTTTATTTTTTGGACCCCCCCCACTTCCCCCCTATGGGGGTTTTCCCGATTTTCCATTCGTATAATCGCCTATATCTCAAAGACTATAAGACGTAGGAACACCAAATTTTAGTCCAAGATGCCTTATGTGAATACGCAGAAAATGTGTATTTTGGAATTTCCCTCCCTCACCCTTCTCTGGTGTCTCTATCTCTTATAGTCTCTGAGATCCAGGTGTTCATACGGACGGACAGACGGACAGACAGACAGGGCTAGATCGACTCGTCTTGTCACGCTGATCAATAATATATATACTTTGTGGGGTCTGCCACGCCTCCTTCTGCCTGTTACATTTTTCAGCTCCCGCAAACCTAATATACTCTTGTACATTTCATGTACAGAGTATAAAAATTGCCTAAACTTAACAACAACAAAATCAGAAGCAATTATATTTGGGTGATGAAGGTGTGCTAACCTGATGACGCGCAGTGTATAGTATAAATTACAAAGTTTGTTTATATGGTTTTGGGAATATGGAAAAAGGGAAGAAAACATCAAAAAGGAAAATAGACTCGTCTTGCCTGGATATAAGGAGAGTCTACATACCTAGTTAAGTCAATGTGGGGTCTGTCGTTTTCGAAATCCAGGCGTTCATCCAGACAGACGGACTTGGCTATATCGATTCGTCTCGTCATGCAGATTATGAATATACATATATATACTTAATAGGTCGGAGATGCTTCCTTCTCCCTGTTACATACTTTGCATAAACCTAATAAACCCTTTGTACCCTTCGGGTACAGGGTATAATTATAAAACAATTAATTTTGTAGAAATATGTAACACGAACATAGATTTGTACGGTTTTAAAAGAATATCTAAGGGTACCTATATGTGTGCAGTAGAAAGTTGAGCCAAAACAGCAACAACTTATAACACTAACTTCCTTTACATTTAAATCATGATGAAACTTAAAGTAGGAATGCATAAGCATTAACGGGATGTTATTGCAAATTTGAGTTAAAAACAAGTGAAGAAGCTAAAGTCAGGTGTCCCGACTTCTAAATACTCTGTACATATGTGTAGAATAATTATAGACATTTAACTAGAGAGAACGCTACAGTCGATCGAGCCCGCCAGTAAAATACCCTGTACCCAGAAAAACTTCCCACACTGAGTTATATGCGCCTCTTGCAGCAGCGAAACGAAGAAGAAGAGCTAACTTTATGCTGCAGTTTTTGGGCGGTAATATTAACTTTTCTTAGAATTCACCGATTTAGATTAAATTTACAACAAAAGTAGATATTTGTATATAAATTACGTGTACAAAGTTTGGTTTCTATCGCTTTTGAAATGTGGACAGTATTGACGAAACTCTGTAGTGGGGGGGAAAATCGAAAAAATAAAATAAACTCGTATCCTAGTCGATCTTTCTCTTGTCATGCTGATCAAGAATACTATATATAACTTTTTGGCGTCAAACATGCTTCCTTCTGCCTGTTACATACTTTGCACACACCTAAAATACCCTTTTTACCCTACGGGTATAGGGTACAACAAAAATGAAAAAAGTAACGAAATTGTAATAAGTATTAGAAACATTTTTATACTCTGTACATGAAATGTACAAGATATATAAGTTATATCTCCTATATATCGGAGACTATAAGTCCTATGGACACCACATTTTAGTGTATGTTTGTTTGTGTGTATCTGTGTATACGGCTATAACTTCCTGTTTAATCGGCCTATCATTATGAAACTTGGCATACGGACTGATAATCACTAACTGGAGGTATTTTCCGAATTTCAATGAAAAATTTCTAGAAATCCGGGAGTTATGGAAAATCACAAATTGCGGTGGGGAGGGGGGAGGGAGGGAAATTCCAAAATACACATTACATATCAATAAAATAAAACAAGATACAACGCTACAGT